CAGACCGGCCAAGGGACCCTGATGGCTGCAGCAACAGAGAGGATTTTAGGGCATTTCATCCCTGAGAGTTGAGTCATCTTAGCGAGACCTTGACAAAAAAGATGCAGTTCAGTTTATTTGGAGTTGCCAACTATGTTCTTTGTCATCCGGTCCTTGGGCAGAGCTTGCCTTTGTTGCAGTAAATGGCCAGTCATTTCCCAGTGAGAGGGAGCAGGTTTCTGATCTTGGGCTGCCTGCTAGAGTCCCACTTGGAGGTAACCCGAAGAACAGGTGGCCACTGGAGGAGGTGGAACACCACGTGCTGGGTTGGGTGGTACAGTGCCCCTTGTCCATGGTGACCAGCATGACTCTTCTCTGGGGAGAAGCCTCCTTATTTTGGGGTGAATTTGGGCCTCCCCCAAATTCACATATTGAAATCCTAACTGCCGGTGTCCAGAAGGTAACTGTATTTGGAGACAGGCTCTTTCAGAGGTAATTACCCCCTTTCCTTGAAAAAAGACCTAATCGGGTCTTATTATTGAAAACGGGGTGAAAAGTGCCAGTTCCAACCAGCCCACCTCACGAAGGAGCCAGCGCACAAGGGAACAGTGACGGCAGCACGGTGAGGACAGGCCACTGGGGCTGGTACTGTTGGTGTCCAGTTTTTAAGGCTGACTAGTTCCTAGGTAGGTCTTATTTTCAGGGGAACACGATATGGTAAAAAGAAAATCTTCAGGATGAGTGGGACCAGTATGATTGGGTCATTATGAGAGAGAAATTTGACCATGGGCAGTCCACACTCAGAGGATAGTTCCCCGAGACAGATGCAATGGAATTGACCCTGTACCGCCTTGCTTTCTATATGTGTAATACATGTATTATGGAACTAAAGATGTAATGCACAGTTAGTCAATGTTTTAGGTAGTTTTCTTTTATTCAGACTAACTCTAATCTGTTTTTTCAATTCTTTTTTATTAGTATATATTTATAATATGTAATAATTATATTCATCTCCAATATCCAGTATATATCTATCATATTTAGTTATTTCTACTTGCCTTTCCTTTGTCTCTCAGGACCCCAGAAAGAAAGATAAAGTTGAGTCATTCTTAGGAAAACAGATGTACCTTGAGACCTCAGTGCATAAATCAATGAAATAAATCAGACCTGGGACATTGAATACCTGATGATTTCTCTTACAGGAGAAGCCCGAAGTTAAGTAAAGACAAAATCAAACATAGCCCTCGGGAAGCTGAGGCAGCCTCTGCAGAGATGGGTGGGGTCTCCAGGGTGGCTTTGTGATCTCCACAGTGCCATGGCCAGGGAACAGCTTTCTACCTCCTGGTATGGTCTGGGCTGTGTGTTCCTATGGCCTGAGCAAGTTCTTGTGCCCCTAATCTGTCTGGGGAGCAGGAGCAGGCCCAGCGGAGGGGCGGGGGTAGGCTGACAGGCTGCTCCCTTGGAGACTCCAGCAGTGGCCACAGGGTGCTGCCTTGTTGGTGTGCTGGGCACCTAGAGTGCAGGGCTGGCATCAGATGGGAGCCCTGGGAAGGACCAGGAAGTTGGCTGCTCGCAGCACTGGCTGAAGCCTGGCTCCCGCACTGCTGAGGTGCAGTGCATGAAGTAGGCCTTGGGAGTGACTCTGCTTCTTTCATGCTGGAGTCTCAGAGGGCTTGGTTCCGATTCTGCACGGCTCAGGAACTCTGTTGTGGTGTTGCTCATCGCAGCTCCCCCGCCCCACATCTTTATTGTGATGATCGCTGCTGCTGCTGCTGCTTCTGCTGCTCCTGTTTGTGGTACTGGGGCTGAACCTAGGACCTTTGCAAAGAGCTGCGTTTCCAGCTCTGTTTGCTAAGTCACTATGTTGCCCAGGCTGCACTCACACTCGCGATCCTCCTACCTCAGCCTTGTAGACCATATCTCTTTTAAGCCCACCTTCCCCTCCAGTGCTTCTCCTCATCTCACTTTCTTTTCACAGGATAAGAGCTTCCTGAACAGCTGACCATGGCTGCCTGTGGTCATCTCCTCTCCCTCCAAAGCCACTGGGTGCTGGGGCTGCCTTGTCAAACTCTGCCATCTCTTCCTGTGGCCACATCCAGCAGCCAGAGAGGCTTCTGTGTCCTTTTTTTGCGGCATCTTCTGCTCAGTTTGCCACTCCCATTTCTTGACATGATCTCTTCTTGGTTTCCCAAGAGGCGTCTCCCCATCTGGATTTTTATACCACCCTTGGCCTACCCTGTCGACCCCTTCTCTGGCTTGGATGTTCTCCACTTACAAATGATGGGGTGACTGGAAGCACTCAGGTGTTTTCCTTTCATCTGGACTCTCTTGGTGACGCCGTGGACCAGAGGGAGAGGGGAGTTGAAAAGGAAAGGTTCAGGGCTCTATTAGGCAGGATGGAGAGCAGGAGAAGGACAAGTATTAAAGTGGGAGGTGAAGCTTTGACCCCGTGTGACTCAGAGCTAGTTTATCTTATGGTGTTCAGGGCTGGTGAGTAAGTGTTTGCAAGGTCTTTGTAGTGACAGTTAGAGCCTGTTAGCTTTATTCTGCAGCCCAGTCTCATGTGGTCTTGTGATAAAGATACCATGGTGACCAACAGAATTTATCTGCTTGTTGGTTACTTCCTGGAACTAAGGCACAGGCCCCGGGCCCCTGCTGGTGCCAAATATATGAATCCTGGAGTTCCTTGGGGTATCAGGTCAACTTGTTGCATAGGGGTGAGGGCAGGCAGGGTGGGGAGGAAATGGGGACCACAGCATACATGGGATCTAGTCCAGGATGAGTGACTTAGCAGGACAACATTGCTGCCACCCTGGGAAAATTTACAAAGAGATACATTACTGCAAAGTCATGGTATTCAGGCCACGGATCCCACTTGCTCAGATCCTGCCTGTAGTGTTTTCCCCAGCTGACACCCGGAATGCTGCTGGCCAGATAGCACTCAGGAGAGACAGAGAAGACCCTGGCCAGTGTCACAGCAGGGACCCCTAAAACCTTACATCTGAAGTCCCAAAGTAGATCAGGACATCAACCCAGAAGTAGGACAGAGAAGATAAAAGATGGCAAACAAGAAAGAACTGATAAAGCACCTTTGAGATCAGTTCAAAACAAGTGCTTGCTAAGTAGCAGTCCTACAAAGAAGAAGAAAGGAGAGAAGAAATTATCGAAGAACTCCTAAGCAAAGAACACACATCACACTATACAGACTGAGACTCTAGACTGAAAGCACCCAAGCACCCAACACAGTGAAGAAAAGAAAATCCACGCCAAGGCCCACCCTTTAAAACAGTTCCAAGAGACCCTAAAGGCTTCTGGAGAAAAAACTTCACGTGCTATGTGGAAGGGTGAGAATCAGAACAGCAGTGCCGAACTCTGGAAAACAAGGAAGGCAGTAAAAGCTTTTTTAGCACTTTGCAGGAAAATAATTTTTAATCCAGCTCTCTGCTCAGCTAAATTAGCAAACCTGTGAAAGTAGCATATCAACATGTTCAGATAAGTAAGGACTCAGAAATATTAGGAAATACATTGATGAAAAAATGAAGGCGTGGCCAAGAAAGGAACAGAGGCTCTCCTGGGGAAGGTGAAGAGGTAGGCCCAGGGCGGATGGGAGGCCCTGGACTATGGTGTGTTCAGATCAGGGAAGAAGACGTGACCCTGGGCAGGAGTTCCCTCTGGAGAAGCACAACTGCTGTGCTGGGCATTATAGGAAAGCAAACTTGGTCAAACCTGGCAAAGGGTTTGCCACATCTGCTGGAAGATTCACAGCCAGCTTACAACAGGTAAAAAACAGGTATGAACCTAGGAGAGATCAGACAAAGAGATGAAAAGAAAAAGCCATCTTATTTCCATATTTGACTGAATTTAAGATGCCATCAATTATATAAACATTATTTTAAGAAGAAAAACTACGACAAACTGGAAATTGTAAGATACATGCAAAGTTTAGAAAAGCTAAAAGGTGGGGCTGGAGGTTTAGCTCAGCGGCATAAGCACCTGCCTTGCAAGCAGGCGGTCGTGAGTTCGATCCCCAGTACCGATAAAAAGGAAAAAAAAAAAAAAAAAAAAAAAAAAAAAAGAAAAGCTAAAAGGTTTAAAAATGTACTTCTAGAACTGGTGAAAATAGCTTCCTCTTTGGCTTCACAGGGAACTAACTCTACTGACCCATGATTGTGACGCAAATTTATTGTGTGGATGAGAAGAAGAAAAGTACAGGTATTCACTGCTGTGGGAAATTTAAGGTCTGAAAACTCACATGCTCAAATAAAAGACATAATTTAATGTTCAGAATTGATAAATCAAGAGTTGGTATCAGTCAACAAACACATGGATATAGGGGAGAAGAGCCTGAGGTAAATGCAGCCTGTATGTGCTAGATAGGGGTGGAGAGGTTGCGCTGGCTGAAATAAATTTGAAGGTGGCTATTTTCCAGTAGAAGTCATTGTAAGGTCACAGTTCCTGCCTCACATGAATGCATTACTTCTCTGTAACCAAAAGCAAACACACAGACACACAGACAACCTTTCTGGAACTTGAAGTGGGATAGAAGTGAGAGATTTTGGGTCCCCAAACCACTGTCTCAGGAGTACCTTGTGCAGACTACAGGTTAGGTGAGCTCACGTCCTGCTAATTTGCCTCTAGAAGACCAAGCACCCTCCTGTTGCTGCCTCCGTTCTTGGCCCCCAAAGGAAGCAAGTCCAAGGGTGGCCCAGGCTCTTCTTTGCAGAAAGCCTTAGAGTGCACACATTCCTCCATGTGGTTTGACCCATTTGGGTTTTTTCCCGGTACTGAGCATTAAACTCAGGGCCTTGTGCCTGCTAGGCAAGTGCTCTACTCTGAGCTACGATATAATTCTCACTAAGTGTAACTATTGCCTCCACCTGGGTAGGGACTGAGCGTGGAGTGGTCATGGTGGTCCAGCCCACCCAAATTCAGCTCGGCCCCTGCTTGCTGTAGACTAACAGAGGCACTTCTTTACTCTGAGGGGTTACAGTCCCCTAATGTCACTGTCTCTGACTTTTTAGAGGAAAGAAGAAGAGGAGAGGAAGCAAGGAGAGGAGCAGATTCGCCTGCAGGAGGCGCGGAGGGCGAAGGAGCTGTACTGGAGCCTGAAGCGGGCGCAGCTGCACAGCCAGACCAGCGAGCGTGAGGAGCTCGAATGGGAAGAGCAGTGTGAGTAGCACTTTTGCCCCAGGGAGGCCCCAGCCCTGACTCGCCACCCATGCCCTGGTGGCAACACTGCGACCCACTCACTCCTACACAGGTCTTTGCCAGGGCTCACTGTGCTTGTGTCCACCATGCTCCCAGAGGGCCGGGGCATGTGCTTGAGGGTTTCCATGCCTGTTCTGGAGATTCTGGTGTTAGTAAGTCAAATGCCACATTTTCCGAGCTGCCAATAATTCCTGGCTCTGTGCTACATCCTGGGGACCCCAAGGTGAGGTGTCTTGGCCCTTACATTGGAGGGACTCACCAGCGGAGCACAAGACACACATGTAGGCTTCATGGCACAGGAGCTGTGGTGGCCCAGAGTGTGCAGAGCTGTGGTGACAGCATTGGAAGTGTGCGTGGTGTAAGCCCGGGGAGCATCACAGGTGTAAAAAGTCAAACGGAACGAGGAAGTGGTGCCAGGCTTGCTAGGTGGTGTTTTGTTATGTGCCCAGAATTTGTTGTTGTTGTTGGGCAGGAAGGATGCAAGCATGGAACTGACTCAGGAAGGAGCTGGGCGTGGAGAGCTGTAGGGAGCTGAGTGACAGCCCATTGCTGCCTCTCTGTCTCTCTCTCTCCTATCAGCACTGTGTCTGCCTACATTAACCATAATCCTCTCCTGCTTAAATCTAGGACATAGCCCTGTTTTTTTTTGTAGAGGACTGATTTTGATTTTTTCTTTTGCAATCACAAGCCATGTGGCCACTTTGGCCACATTTGAAACAAGCGGCATCTGTTTTAGAACGAGAGAGGGGTTGTGTAACTGTGATCTTAGGCAATATAAATGGGTGACGATTGTCAAAGTCAACTAGCTTATTTGGAGGGTGATGATTGTCAATAGTTCCTGAAAAGGAATCTAAGGCAATAGGCCACACTTCCGTAGTCTGAAGTAGCCAATCTATTTGGTCTTTTGTAAAAGGTTAAATGATAATGTCTGGTTCTTTGCCAAAGTAACATTTTCCTTGCTTTCTACCCTGAATTATCAGGTCTGAGACAGCCTGGAAATAAGGCAGGAGTGTTCTTTTTGGGGAGACTGATAAATGGACCCACATGAGGGGAGCTTGTTGCCAGAACACTGCTGTGGGACAAAGCTTTGTATTAAAAATGAGAAACTGTAAAGGCTCATTGTAGTCCATAAAGGAAACAGTTTGTTGAGCAATAGCCTCTTCTACTTTACTGAGCGCACTCCTGGCATCAGGTGTAAGCTCTCGGGGGTGGGGGGGGAGAAGGGAGGTTGGATCTATGTCTCCCCAAAGCAGTGCATAAAGGGGCTGTAAATCATGTTTAGTTAGTTTTAAAAATGGTATGAGCCAATTAATGTCTCCCAATAGCTTTTGGAAGTCATGAAGTGTTCTGAGGCCATCAAGCCTCAGTTGGGGCCTTGGAGAGAGTATTTGAGTGCCACATAATTGAAAACCCAAGTATGTATATGGATCAGTAAGCTGTACTTTATCAGGGGCTATTTGAAGTCCAGCCTCTTGTAAGGCAACCTGTAAGTCCTGGTAGCACCTTAGGGTTTGGTTTTGGTCATCTCTTGCCAAGAGGATGTCGTCCATATAATGAATAATATAGATATGTGGCCAATGATCGCTGACTGGCTGTATTGCAGTGGCTACAAAAGACTGGCATAACGTGGGGGAGTTAGCCATACCTTGCGGCAAGATGCACCATTGAAATCTCTGCATAGGGGCTTTAAAATTAATTGTTGGGAGACTGAAGGCAAAATGCTTTTGGTCATTTGGATGTAAAGGAATAGAGAAAAAGCAATCTTTAAGATCTATGACAATTTAAAAAAACCCCAGTGGAATGGCACTGGGTGAGGGGAGGCCTGGCTGTAGAGGCCCCATTAAGACTATTGTCTTATTTATTGCCCTAAGGTCTTGTAGCAGCCTCCATTTCCCCGACTTTTTTTGAATAGCAAACATAGGTGTGTTCCAAGGGGAATTACTTGGGACAATGTGGCCTGCATTTAACTGGTCCTGCACCAGCTTTTGTGTGGCTGCAAGCTTTTCAGAGGTAAGGGGCCATATTGAGAGACTGCGGCCTTTAACTCTTTTAAGGCTGTCACGGTGAGAGGTGTGTGTATCCTAACAGCTTGTGGTTCAGTGCCCTCTTCAACATCCCGTGGGGGAGTAAGGGCCTCTGTGACTGGGAATGCCATATTAGGCTGGCTGCCGGAGGCAGGCACCATTTTAAGCGTGCCACAAGGTGTGCTGGAGGCAGGCGCCATCTCAAGGACACTATAAAACTGTAGCTTGAAGGGCCTGCAATTGAATTGAAAGATTTTGGCATTCTTTTTCTAGCTGTATCTGTTTTAAAAGATCCATTTTTCTTTGCTCTAATTCTGCTAATGTGCTAGAAGTTTGAGAGCAGATGCTGAGTGCATCATCATAGTCAGGGGACTGCCTAATAGTGGCTGGTACTGCAACAGGGTCAGGATGATATGTAGAGGCTTGTTGTGTTGGTTGTTCCCAGGGAGCAATGGTGGGAATGACCCAGACCCATTATGTGCAGGTACAAATCTGCTAAAACAAAATCCAATAATCTGTGTAACCAGTGGGAAAAGGAAAAGACTGATTAGGAAGATTAGGAACCTGAAAAGAAATAAAAAGGAAAAGTGTTTGTGGAAGATGTGGTGCAGCATACAGGGCCACCTCGAGGAGCACTGGGGTCAGTCAGGAGCTGTGGACTGAGGAGAAACAAGAGCGTTCATTGCACTGTCCCCAGGGATGTGTAACAAACAGGTTTAGGACCAGCGACCTGCTCACTCCCTGGCTGGGGCGAAGGAGCTGTCTCTAGAGTATCTGGTCCTGGGGGACCAGGGAAGAGGATGCAGGCATGGGGGTGAGAGAAAGAGAGTTAGAGGGCTGGCTTGGCTGGTTTGCAGCCAAGTCCTTGGTTTGTGTGTTGGATTTATTCATTCAGCAGAGCCTTTGAGAAATTGATATGCCATTCACTAACCATAAAGCTTAGCCTTCTAGAGGGTGCAGTTCAGTGTCTTATTTTTAGTCAACTCACAAAGTTGCACAACCACACCACTATCTAATTCTGGAACATTTTTATCATCTCAAAGAGAAACTTGGTACCAATTGGTAATCACCCCTCCCCATCTAACCTGTCCCCAGTGGGTTTGTCGTGATGGCTATTTCATGTAAATGGAATGACATACGGTCTTTTGTGTCTGAATCTTTCATACAGTAGATGCAAAGATCCATCTATGCTGTGGTGTGTATCATTACTTTGTTCTTTTTATAGCTGATGGATATTATGACCCATGCACATGCCACATTTTTATCTGTGTAGCAGTGGATGTATATTGGGATCGTTTTTCTCTTTTGGGCTGTTATAAATAATGTTGTTGTGAACATTCTCGTGCACATTTTCGCACCAGCCTGTAGTTGCATTCCTAGCGGTGGAATTCCTGGTCGCATAACTGTTTCTCATCTCGGGCACTGCCTGCTGTTGGGGATCCTGGTGGCATCAGCAGTGCTAAGGGCTCTGCTCCTTCACGCACTCGCTCACAGCAGCCACTGCTGCTGTCCTTGCCTACAGACCAACTCATGGAGATGCAGTGTAGCTCACGCTGCTTTCGGCAAACTCGTTTCCGATGACCAGCGAAGGGAAGCATCTTTTATTTGTATTATCTCCTGAGAAATTACTCTTCCAGTTCTTTGCCCATTTTTGAATTTCATTGATTTATAAGAGTTTTGTACATATTCTGGATATTAATCTTTATTATTTTTAGGTATTTTCACCATTCCTTTGAATTGTTTTTAAACAAAAATTTTTCGATTTTTGGTGGTTTAATTTATCTGATTTTTCTTTCCTTGCTTGTGACTTATGTCATATCTAAAAAACCAGTAGCTCATTTCAGGGTCACAATGACTTACACCTATTTTTCTTCTAAGAGACTAATAGTTTTAGCTCTCACATTTAGGTCTTTGATCCATTCTGAGTTAACTTCTGTATGAAAAAGGCTCCTACTTGATGTGGCTTTCAAGCACCACTTGTTGCAAAGATTATTTTTTTTCAAGACTTTGGCACTCTTAAGAGATCAATTGAACAAAAATGTAAGCGTCTGCATCTGCAGCCTCAATTCTGCTTCATTGATCCTGGCTGTCTGGTGTCAGAGCCACACTGTCTTCAGCTTTGCAGTCAGTTTGAAGTTGGCAGTGTAAGACCTCCATAGTGGCCCTTTTTTTCTGTAGTAGTATGGACATCCTGGGTACCTATATATCATATGTATTTTAGGGTCAGATTGTTGATTCCTGCCATAATGCTAGCTGGAATTGTGATAGTAATTATATTAAATTTGTAGATCAATTTGGGTAATACTGCCACCTTAATAATACTTAGTTCTCTCATTTGTGAACACAGGATACCTTTCCATTTATTTAAGTTTTATTCAATCTAATGTTTTTGTAGTTTCCAGCGTACTTTTGTCCTTATTTTGTTAAATGTATTTTTAATTATTTTTGATGCAATTATAAATGGAATTGATGTATAAGTTTCATTTTTAGGGTTTTTATTGCTAGTGTATGGAAATACAATTAACTTTCATATATTGATTTTATATCTTGAAATCTGACTAAACTTGTTTATTGTATATTCCTCATGGTTTTTCACATCCAAGATAATTTCTGGTGTAAATAGAGATATTTTACGTATTTCTTTCCAATCGGGATGGGTTTTCTTCTCTTTTCTTGCTCTGGCTTGTTCTAGCTCTAGCTAGAACTTCCAATAGGATGTTGAACAAAAGCAAGCATCCTTGTTCCTGATTTTAGAGTGCAGTTTTCAGCCTTCTTTTACAAGTGAGTACATTAGCTGTGGGTTTTCCATGGACAAATGTGCAAGTTGAGGGGGTTTCTTGGTTCCCCAGTGTGTTTTGTCATGAAAAGCTGTTGGGGCTGGGTTGGTTGCGCGTGCCTGTAATCCTAGCACTTGATAGGCTGAGGCAGAAGGATCAC